AACACGGAGAAACATAACTAAAAATGAAGAGATAAAATGGAATACTAAGATATCAATTCACTCTAGAGATGACAAACAAATACCATTGTAGTAGACTTAAACTCAACCATAGTAATTATTACATTAAAAGTAAATGTCATTTGGTTCTTCTAGAAAGTTTACTCACACAGAGTAGAAGTTCAAGATATTTTCTCATGGTAGCACCTGTGAATAACAAACGCGAGGGTCATTAGGAATAGCAGGAAAGCCTTTCTATTGCCAATGTATTGACACTGGTAAAACTAGAAAGAGGAGGAAAACAAATTGCATAAAAAGAGCTTTAGATTGTAAAGTATCTTTTTCATCACCTTTTAGTAAGGATGTATGCTAACAGCATGACTTATTGTTGATGATATTAACTTTGATTACCTGACCAAAGTAGTGTTGAACAGCTTTTTCAACTGTAAAGGCATTCTCCTCTCTTCCATACTGTAGTTTTTGAAAGCAAGTCACTATTTGCTACAACCCACACTCAAGAGAGAGTGTCTTAGTCTATTTGGACTAATATAACAAAATATCATGAACTGAGTGGCTTAAAAATAACAGAAATTTATTCCTCACAGTTCTAGAGTCTTGGAACTCTTAAGTTCAAGGTATTGGCAGATTCAATGTCAATACTTATGTATTTGTATCTGTATTACGCTGAACATAAGTTCATACAGCTGTCTCTAACTCTAATCCATTACCACGTGGTTCATTCTAGTTTCCCCTGTCCTTGACTATCTGAAACTGCTCTTCCAATAGGAATAAACCTGCCTCACAGCATCCACCATGTATTTACATATTTGTTCAACCCTACTCTATATATACAGTTTTTTCAGAATTGTTAACGCAGGCCACTGTGAAAAACAACTAGAGTATAGTGTTTATGTACAGTTCCTTTTGTTTCTAGTCTTACAGTTTCCAGTCAAAGCACCATTTCCAAAGTTACTTGTCAGCTAGTTTTCTGTCCACCCTTTTCAGTGAGGATTTTCCATAAATTTGTTATACAACTAGAATCTTTTTGTCCGCATATTCACTGCACACAATACATTCCTCTGGTTAATTCTTTTAATTTGCATAAATTAAGGTTTACTCTTTTTGTTGTACATCTTTTTTTGTTTTGAGACGGAGTCTCTCTCATTGCCCAGGCTGGAGTACAATGGCGCAGTCTTGGCTCACTGCAACCTCCACCTCCTGGGTTCAAGCGATTCTCCTGCCTCAGCCTTCAGACTAGCTGGGATTACAGGGACCAGCCATCATGCCTGGCTAGTTTTTGTATTTTTAGTAGAGATGGGGTTTCACCATGTTGGCCACGCTGGTCTCGAACTGCTGACCTCATGATCCACCTGCCTCAGCATCCCAAAGTGCTGGGATTACAGGCGTGAACCACTGTGCCTGGCCCTTTTGTGGTACAACTTTATGGGTTTCAATAAACGCATAGCGTTTTATATCCACCAGTACACTGTAATACCAATTAGTTCCACTGAACTGAAACATCTTAGTCCCTCTCCTAGTCAAACACTCTTCCTTTCACGATCATTTGAATACCCTGATCTGTCTTTCAATCCAACAGTTTTCCCTGCTCAAAAATGTCATATGAATGGACTTCAACATGTAGACTTTCAGACTGACTTCTTACGCATAGCAACATGCACTTAAAGTTCATCTAAGTAGCTCCATGAGTTAATAGCTTGTTTCTTTTTATCACTGAATAATATTCCATTATATGGACATACCATTGTTTGTTTATCCATTTATCTAACTAAAGGATATTATTTCAACGTTGCTTGAAATTTTTGTTGATTATGAATAAAACTGCTAAAAAATTCCTCTGCATGTATTTTTCAGACATACATTTTCAAATCAATTGTGTAAATATTCAGGAACATGCTTGCTACATTGGATGATAAATCTTAGTTATATTTAGTAAGATACTGACAAACTACCTTGCAAGCCATTTTGTGTCCCCACCAGCAATGAATGAGAGTTCCTGCTGCTCTGAATCCTTGCCAGGTTTGGGAATTGTCGGTGAAGAGTCTATTTAGATCTTCTGCCTTGTTATTTAAGTAAAAGTTCTTTGTCAGATACATTATTTACAAATGTTTTCTCCCAGTTTATGACTTGTCTTTTCATTCTTGCAACTGCATCCTTCAGAGAGCAAAATATTTTAAAGTTTTATTTAAAGTTTAATTTATCATTATGTTCTTTCATGAGTTACACTGTTAATGCCATACTTTAAAACACATAGTCAATCCCTAGGTAATGTAGATTGTTGTCCTATGTTTTCTTCTAGATGCAGAATTTCTTTTTTACTCTTTTTGTTGTAAATTTTTATGTGTTTTGACCCTATTTGTGTAAGTATATTTTTGGAATCTCTATTGTGTTCCATTGATCACTATTTCTATGTTTTTGTTAATAGCAAACAGTTTTAATTACTGAAGCTTAATAACATGTTTTAAAATCAGGAAATTGGAGTCTTGGAACTTTTTCTTTTAAAAATTGTTCTGATTATTTTAGTAGTAGCTTTACCTTTCCATATAAATATTGAACCATCTTATGAACAGAACATCTACGAAAAAACTTGCTGAGATTTTTTTTTTTTTTTTTTTTTTGAGATAGAGTCTAGCTCCTTTGCCCAGGCTGGAGTGCAGTGGCATGAGCTTGGCTCACTACAACCTCTGCCTCCAGGACTCAAGCGATTCTCGTGTCTCAGCCTCCTGAGTAGCTGGTACTACGGGCGTGCACCACCACACTCAGCTAATTTTTGTATTTTTAGTAGAGACAGTGTTTCACTGTGTTGGCCAGGCTGGTCTCAAACTCCTGACCTCGTGATCTGCCCACCTTGGCCTCCCAAAGTGCTAGGATTACATGAAATGAGTTTTCTTAACCTCTCTTGCACTCGGGATACTGGATGACTTAGTTTCTGTCTATCAGATAGCATTCACAAGACTTTAATTTGGAATAGAATTAAGCACTCCATGAATGCACTAAAGAGGCCAAATAAAAGGCAGAGATTGGCAGCAAACACTTTTTAAATGGCCCAAATATATGTTGTTTATAAGAAACTCACTTCAAGTGTAACAATATAGGCAAGTAGAAAGTAAATGGATAGAATATATATATATAACATATAAAATGCAAATACTAATAAAAAAAATGAGTAACTATGTTCATATCAGATAAAGTAGATTTCAGAGCAAAAACAATTACCAGAGACATTATTTAATGATAAAAGAGTCAATCCATTTAGAAGGCGTAGAAATGCTAAATGTGTATGCACCAAACAACAGAGATACAAAATATGTGATGTGAAAACAGATAGAACTAAAAGGAGAAATAGACAAGTCAATGGTTGTCATTGGAAACTTTAACACTCCCTCTCAACAATGGATAAAAACAACTAGACAAAACACAATGAAGGTTACCATCAAACAACAAGAGCTCATTGACATTTATGGAACACTCCACTCCACAGCAGAACGCACATTCTTTTCAAGTGCCCACCAAACCTATGCCAAGATAGACACTGCTATCATTTGAGTGTTTGTCCCCTTGGAAACTCGTGGTGAAATTTAATCCCCAATGTGGCAGTATTGAGAGGTGGGGCCTTTAAGAGGTGATTGGGTCATAAAGGCTCTGTCTTCATGAATGGACTAGTTCATTCATGGATTAATTGGTTAATAGTTGTGATAGAGGTGGGACTGGTGGCTTTACAAGAAAAGGAAGAGAGACCTAAATTAGGATATGAGCATGTTAAGCCCCCTTTCTATGTGATGCACTGCACCATCTCAGGACTCTGCAGTGAGTCTGCCCCAGCAAGAAGGTCCTTACAAGATGCAATCTTGGGCCTCCCAGCCTCTATAACCATAAAAAAAAAATTCATTGTCTTTATCGATTACCCAGTGTTGGGTATTCTGTTATAAGCAACAGAAAACAAAGACAGACACCATCTTAGGCTATAAATCTAGCCTCAGCAAATGTAAAAGAATTGAAATCAGAGAGAGTGTGTTCTCTAATCATGATAAAATCAACTAGAAATCAGTAAGAGAAAAATAACAGGAAAAAATCCAAGCACTTGTAAACTCACAAGCGCATTTCTAAATAGTCTATGAGTCAAAGAGGACATCTCAAGGAAAATGTTTAAATGCATCGAGCTAAATAAAAATGAAAACACAATGTTAAAATTTGTGGAACACAGTTAAAAGGCAATGCTAAAAGGGAAATTTGTAGCACTGAATGTACACAATAGAAAACAAAAGTTTCAAATCATTTATTTATGCACCTCTATCAAGAAGCTAGAAAGAGAAGACAAAAATAAATCCAAAACAAGCTTCCAGAAACAACAAAGATAAGAGTATAAATCAATGAAATTCAAAACAGAAAAACAGTAGGTTATCAATGAAACTGACAAACCTCTAATAAGATTGGCAAAGGACAAAGAGAGAAGACACAAATTACTAATATCAGAAATGAAACAAGGAAAACCAATACAGACCCTTCAGACAGCAAAAGGATGATAAGGGAATGCCATAAACAACTCAGCACACATAACTACAAAAACTTAGATTTAATGGACCAAGTCCTCGAAAAGGACAAATTACCACAGCTCATCCAATATAAATAAATAGTTTGCATAG